CCCCTCCCCCTCTCCCGCCCCTGCCGCACCTCCGCGTCGTGGCCGCCTTGCCCTTGGTCCGGGCCAGCCCGTAGGCTGGGCCGTAGGCAGCCAGAGGCCGCCTATTACCTGCCGACCTATCCGTCACTGGAGCACTGCGGCCGTATTCGGGTCATGGATTGACATAGCACGCTGTGTGGGGGATTGGCATTGTCCAGTTTTTTTCCGACAAGGTAAAATATTTCCGTTGCGATAAATATTGCCATAACAATCGCCAAGTTTCCCGTTTTATTGCTCTTTTTATTTTTGGTTGTGTGTGCGATCTCGTGTGGTACACTTAAAAAATAAATCTGGGCACGTGCGTGACACTTAATCCCCCTAGACGAGCCTCACACGCCAGGGAATTCGATCGCTTTCCTGCTGCGGCTTCCTCTCTTGTCGAGCCTCTGTCCACCACACACTTTTAAAACACACACAGTTTTCTCTGTTTTTTTAAAAAATAAAGTGATAAAAAGATTTTAAAAACACAAAAAAAAGTCAGCGTACTTTCACCCAGTCGCGCTCGCAGTACGCCCGTATGTGTTGTCGTGTGTGGTAATATATGTCAGGCTGTCGTTGTTGTCTGTCTGGGACCAACATGCATGAGGTAAAGTGGTTTCAGGAATATTTTAGGGGGTGGGGCGTGCTCTGTGTTTGCTAAACCAGCTAAACCTTTATGTGATGTTTAACTGAACCAGCCACACGGAAAGCTTTCGCGCAGTTAATCGGAGTTCGGACAGGCGACGTCAGCAGTTCGTGACCAAAATGTGGGCGGAAAACTTTGTAATATGCCGCTTTCCTAATGCCTTTTTCCTCTTCTTCTGTTTACAGACTGACTCCAACTGAACTGCCCAGCACTATCCAGCGCAACCTCATTCTTTTGTACTGATCACAACAAGGTAATGAAAAGCTGTGTTTAAACTTGATGGAGGGAGGGGGTATGGGTTGGGTGTTAGATTGATGAATTAGATCAGCACTATTGTTGAGATTCGAGGTGAGAATTTCCGTCCTCACGGCCAGTTAATTCTATCGACGCCCATCTCGAGGGCTTGGGAGGGGGGAGGACCAGGAGGGAGGACCCTTTGGGCCGCCGAAGGGCGCCGTGCCGGACGTCCTCGGCGCCGTCCGCGGCCCGGCCGGGGCAGGGGACCCCCTCGACTTGGCACGCTCTCTTTCTCGCGTTACATCACGCTGCACGCCCCGCCCCGCTATAGAATGTCATGTGTCCGCCGGGTAATGCCAGGCGAGCACGCGCCCGCACGCCATACTGTTACGTTCCGCGAACTCCGTTGCCTCCCCCTACCCCTGCCCCTATAGTATGCATATTATGGCTTGCCCCATATGCACTTTTCTCCCACTCATTCAATGTTATGGTACAACACACTTGCATGTGGAGGGAAGCAGGCACGTGGCAAAAGGAATAACCACGAGCAGAATAAACGACTGAACATTTTTTGGGGTGGTGTTTTAACGCCTTGCGACTCGTAAAGTGTCTTTATTGTAATGTAAGAAAAGAAAGTTTGCCGCCCGCGCGATTTTAATAACCGGTAAGATAAACTGCCGAACTTTGTCCCAATCCTGACCTCGCCCCTTTTTTCGCACTTGCGAAGTGCATCCCGCCGCACCTCCGCCCTCGGTGGACTCTGCCAAAGACTCTCAGCTGCTTTGGTTTTGGTTCCCTGCCAGCGGTTAGCCTCCGCGCCCCTCTCCCGCAGGGGAGGACAAATTTGCCGCGTTAAAATTTCGGGAAAATTTGCATTGTCTAACAGCGCTAAAATCTTCATATCGCCCGCCGCCGAGCCCGCCGCGGTAAACGGTGATGGTCACGAACTGAACTGACCACAGCGACGACGGGAGCGGCCCGAGGCAAATGACACTCTCATCTCCTGGCGATAACTTTTTATCGCACCGCGTCTCAATCAAACAACAACAACAATGAATAGAATATTGCCTCAGTCCAAATTGTTGCTGTCCGCGCCGGCCCGCTGTGCTGCTGTGCGCCACGCGCGCGCGCATCGGCCCGTCGCCAGCAGGGCCCCACCATCGACTTGCAGATGGTCGCCGTCATGCAGGCCGAGGGGCCCCAGGCCCAGGCCGGGGTGGTCGGCCTCGGCTGTCCTGTGCCTTCTGGGTGCCACTCTTTGACCTCAGGCCGAGCGCCTCCGCTTAGCCTCCGTGCCGGCGCCGCCTGGTTCGTGGCGCGCGTGCGCGCGCGCTCTATGCGTTGTGCGATGTCACCGAACAAACAACAGATTAAAAAACACTGTAGCGGCAAGCAGGGCCAGGCTGCAAGGCGAACGCAAATAAATGTGCAAAAATCGCGCTGTGCAAAAAAAAGTACAGTTTTCTGTATGCTTTTGTGGTGTGGTGGTCTGTGAACGCAGGTGGCTCCCGCCGCCGGCGCGTTACAGAGTATAATGTATTTCCTTCACACCTGTATTTTTGAAGTAAAACCTGTCGGGAATTCATGAGCTTGATGGAAAAGATTACTGCTGTCGCTTTAAGAATTTTTCCCTCAGATTGTTCCTAATAAAACAAGCCTCTTGTAAATCCTGCGGGATGGCGGTTTTCTGTAGCATACACCTTTGTCGCCCTCTCCTGGTACGCCTTTGAAATTACAGTGTACTGGCAGTGACCCCCGAGGTAACCCCTCGGGACTCGGGTGATCCCATCAGCATTCATTGGCGACCCTATGAATCGAGAACTAAAACGATACCCTGCAGAATTACCTGTTTATCTCACTGGGTCCGTGTGTTTGGAGTGTGGAGGGGAGGGAGGCGAGGGGCGGCAGACGACTACGTGCGCGCGGAGGAAAAAGGGGGAGGGGGAATTCCCTGGAAACGTTCCCCTCCCACTGCTCGCAGTCGCTGATGACTCGGCGTATTTTCTGCCCCTCTCCTCCCTTCCTCCTCCGTATCCGCCCAATCGCATCGCCACCCAGCTCCGCGCGCCGACTGTCGGGCCGCGCTGCTGTATCTTTGTGGTGAATACTGAACGCCGTCGCCCGTCGCTGTCCTCCGGAGGCCTGGAGGTGGCCGGGCAGGAGGCCGGGTGCGACGCTCTGCTGGCCGGCGTGGCGGCGGGTGCGGCTGACGGGACGGGTCCGTACTGCTCGTGGCGGCCCATCCTCGGGGTGACGCAAGGCGGGTGCCCCGCGCGGCCCGCGCGCCAGGAGGAGCCGAGGACAAAGTGATTTCTCCTCTCTGCTGGTCCCGCCGGCTGCCCGCCCGCCCGTCCCGTCTGTACGTCTGTCTGTCGCACCTGCCCGTCCGTTTGTCTGTCGTCGTCGCTCTCCCCCCGCGAGCGATGACGCGTCTGTTCAAACGAACGAAATGTCGAAGTGGGGTAACAGGGACGGACGGCAGCGCGGGGCCAGAGAAAGGAAAAGTCAATCCCGGCGCACCCCGTGCGGGTTTGTTTATTATTTCCGGGGTGGCGAGGACGTGGGCGTCAAAGGCCCGGCCGCAGCGGGGACAACATCCAGATCCGTAGAGACTCTGCAAACACACGCAGGTGGCGAAGGGATGGCCCGGGCCGGAAATGCCCCTCCCCCCCTCTCCAACAAAATTCCTTAAATTCTTCAATTCCAATTCCTGGTAGGAGGGCTCTAGGGAGATGCAAGGTTCAAGAAGGGATCGGGGACGGCTTTCGCCTCGCCGATAGTGGCGTTGCTGTGCTGCCTCCGACCCGGTCGTCGGCGCCGCCCGGCTCAGCGGGGGCGGGGCACTCCGGGCCCCGGGCTTGGGTTACCCGCCCCCACCTCGCCCCGCTGCTACGTGATTTTCGCGCCGTACTCGTCCTGCCACCGCGCATTATCTCACGGTGATAAGGACGCCGGTGGGGTTTAACGCCGACGTGTTTGGCGTCGCGACGCCCCTTCGGTTCGGGACGCCGCGCGGTGTCGCGCCGCCGCCGTCCGTCCCTCAGAGGGTGATGCACTGCCCCCTCTCTCTCCCCTCGCGAGGGCCGCGTGCCCGTGCCGGCCAGACGTGCTGACGGCCACGCAGGCTTTGGGGTCCGAGGAGGTGTGCGTACGGCGGGGGGTTGGTGGGGCGCACTGAGGTGGTGTGATGCAAGTCACCTGTGTCCTTGGGCCAGACCCCTCGCCGCCAGGGTGGACGCCAGACACTCGTGAGCGGTACGATAGCGTAGGGTTAAGTGTGCTTTATCTGGGGAGCTCTGCGTGAAGAGGTGTATATAGGCGCCGCGGCGGAAGTGACCGTCGCGGGATCGGGGTGGTTCGTCCTTTCTCCGCAAGGATTCTCTCGGCGTCTCACGGGATCACGGCGCCTGCGACACTCGGGGTAGGCCACCCCGCCGTACACGCCTGCATGGCAGGGGAAATGTTGCCTACCTGACAGGCGCTACGAGAGCTTGCATAGTCTGCACTTGGCGAGTTCGTAACGGCGAATGACACGCGCGACTTCTGGATGATCCCTTTCATGTCCGTTCGTGTCTAACTCTATTCTCTTCTTCCGCAGGCCGTAGCCATGTGTCCGCTGTGGCCGCTGCACCTGCTGGTGCTCTACGCGGTCATGCTGTGGCCGCTCCTGCTGCTGACGTGCGGCGTGGCCAAGGGCGTGGCTGCTCAGGTGCTGCCGCGCCAGGGCCTGCAGGGCCTGCAGGGCTTCCAGGGCCTACGCGCCTGCCCACAGACGGCGCTGTACTGCGCCCCGCCAGACGGCGGCGACCACCTCTGCGTCCAGTTCGACGCGGTCCTCCCCAACGGCACCGTCGCGGACGTGTACGAGCGTGGGCGGCTGGAGCTCAAGATGGACGAGTGGGCGACGCTGCGCTTCAACGTGACGGACCTGGACGCCAACGAGGCCCAGGGCAGTAAGCTCTACCTCGAGGCGGACAGGCAGAACGTGGCCGACGTGAAGCCGACGGAGGTGTTCATCAACACGCAGAGCCTGAACGGTCCGTCGTCTTGGGCAGGTTCCGTCAATGTGACCGGCCACTTCCTGGGTAAGTGGAACCTGCGACTCTCCATCTACCGCCGTCTTCCCGCTCTGGTCTGACGCCCTCCTCCTCCCCTAGGTAAGACGCAGGTGCGACTCAAGCTCGGCAACCGCTTCAGCGACTGCCTGCCCGTCGTGGTGACTCGACCCAAGCGCGTCATCGACACGGTGTTCACGGCCAGCGTTGCCAGCCTGGTGGCCATCATCTTCATCAATTTCGGCTGTGCCCTCGACTGGGAGATCGTCAAGAAGACGCTGAAGCGACCCTTCGGCCCCGCCATCGGCTTCACTTCGCAGTACATCGTTTTGCCTTTGGTAAGTAAAACTGCTACTAAGGTGCTCAGGATACTTTGTTTCAATCACTTGTGTTTGTTATTATTTGTGCTTTTCTTGATTCCAGATAAGTTTTGGTTTGGCAAAGCTTTTGTTTCCCAATGATGTGGCCATGCAACTGGGCATGTTTTTCACTGGAATCAGTCCAGGAGGAGGGGCTTCTAACATTTGGACTTATTTGCTCGGTGGAAATCTCAATTTGAGCATTACCATGACTGCAATAAGCACTATGCTTGCTTTCGGTAATATCCGTTTTATTGAAAGAGAATGTGCAAATGTATGGGATTTTTGAGCAATATTTGATATATCTTTTTGTTTTCTGTCCCCAGCAATGATGCCATTTTGGGTCTTCACCCTAGGACATCACATATTTCATCAAGATAAAATGGAAGTGCCATATATGAGAGTTTTAGAAGTTGCATTTTCTCTTGTCGTTCCTATTTTCATTGGATGGCTAATCCAGAGATTCTTACCCAGAGTATCTAAGCTTCTTGTTCGTATTCTGAAGCCATTCTCAACTCTTCTCATTCTTTTTATTGTAATTTTTGCCATCATTACCAATCTCTACATATTTGAACTCTTTTCTTGGAAGGTAAATATTAAAAATTTTAGTATTGTCAAACTCCTGAATTTGGTGTTCAAGATTTTTTAAAAGATGTTGTCTTTCCAGATTGTAGTTGCAGGTCTTGGGCTTCCATGGTTGGGCTACCTGACAGGGCTCACATTAGCTGTTATATTCCGACAGCCTTTCCCTGATGTTACAGCAATATCAGTTGAAACTGGTGTTCATAACACAGGAATTTCAATCTTCATGTTAAGAGCAACTTTGGGACAGCCAGAGGCAGACTTAACAACAGGTTTGTTAAAATAAAAATACAAATTGTGAAGAAAATATCCATAGAATGATGAAATTGATTTAAAGTGTACTACATTAATATTTTTTCCCAACAGTGGTCCCTGTTGCAGTTGCAATAATGACACCAATTCCACTTACCATTTGGTATGTAGTTAAGCAGCTACGATCAAGGTGGACTGTAAAAAAAAACGATATGTACGCATTGAGTGATGAGGAGAGAGCTCCAGTGACAAGTAATCAGAATGAACATTTAACAATTGTCACATCCAAGGGAGCAAGTAATAACAATCATGACAAGTATTAGGCAGTGCAAAGGAGGTGAACATTCCAAGTACACACAGGAAGAATGTGCTTGTGAAGTAAACATTGTGTACTGGTTGTTATTTCCATTTCATTTTTCTCATTTCCATTATTTAAATTACCAGTCAAATCATCTCATAAAGATAATTTTTTAGTCTGTGAACTGTAGCTGAGCTGGTATTTGAAGAACTGCTTAGCAGTCAATGAATAAATGTACCTCGATCAATGTAATTCCCCGAGAAAATGCTCTGTAAGAATATGGGACTGCTTCAAGAAATTGAGGATTTGCAACTGTTCTCCTAGACTGTAGCTTTCCGTAGATTTAGCTCCTTCTTGTTCTATCCCAGGCTCTAGCCAACTGTACCATGGCATTCTAATAGATCCACTTGAGATCTAGATGAATATTTCAGTACTTAATACACATAATAGGCAGCTGTTTGTTTCTTGTTAGGCCTGCAATAAGTTACGAAAAAGTTCTAGTTAGTTTCCTTCAATTCTAATAGTGGACCACTTCTATATCAATGAAAATCATTTTTTGTAGATTTGGTTTAGTTACCAAGCTTTTTTTCTGCTGATGAATGTATTGACGAAAAGGTGAATTTTTAATGACCAGAACCTGTATTGATCAGTATGTTACAGTAAGATATCAAGAGACTTTTATGGTTTTGGTATGAAATGGCAATTAGTGTTCATTTAATTACAATTTGAACAACGAGAGTTATGTATCACTCAGTCTGAGGATGATTTCCAAAATATTCTATCCCTCCTTTAATGTTGTGCAGGGTGTTAAAATTTTGTACTGATTTATTAAATTGTATGATCCAAAACTTTGTAAATTGGGATTTAGTTCTGTACTATTTCACATTGTTCCAATAGACCCATGTGTTCTTTGTAGCAGCTTTCTTGCATAAGTTGAGTTATTTAGAAAGAAAATCCCAAGTCTGTATTTCTTACAAACTCTGAAACCTGAATACTCTTCTTGATCCCATGTGAGAATAATTTTATTGTGTTTTCATTTTGTTTATGAGAAATTTAATATCGAAATTTCAAAGTGTTCTGCTCTTTAAATGTATAATTACTGTTTATTGCATATACAGTATAATTGTCAAAAATGTTGCACAACTTTCAACATTTGATCTCAAAGTGATATTTGGCTTTACTACTTAAAAATTGCTGCCCTTTGTTGAAAACTCTTTGATCTAAAAAGTTGAGTGCAAACATTGTTTGTTTCTTTTCTCATTGTTGCGTTTTATAAAATAATACTTTTAAATGTCCCGGAGACTTAAAATTTATGATAATGTTACGACTTTTAAATTGGTAGGCAAAACCAATAAAGACAGTGTGACTGTAGTGTCCATTACTTTTACATGTGATGTTTGTAGTGGATAGAATTAAGCTGGAAGTACTCTACCAAATGGACAGTATTTTCTGGTACTTCATAATTGTTAAGGAATGAATATTAAAAAGTTAATTTGAAAATTGTCTTGGTTTGTACTGAGTTTTTTACTTTAAAGTGTCCCACACACTTACTAATGTTCTCGACCAATGGTGGACTACAGGAAATATATGAGACTGTTGGATTGATTCATTTATTTGGGCTGACGTAGTTTCTACAAGACCAGCGGACAGCTACTTTCTAATTGGAGCAAGATGCATCTGTTGGGTTCAAATGGGTTTATTTGAGTCTTGTAGGTTAAATAAGAACACATAATCACGCACACTCTTCAGTGTGTA